GTACTACCTACCGCTCACTACTTATTACCTACTGCTTACTGCTTACTACTGCTGCTGCTGCTGCTACTACTACTACGACTACGACGACGACGACTACTACGACTACTACTACGACTACTACTACGACCACAACCACCAGCCAGTGCGACTGCCACTGCCACTACCACTATCAATGCGACCACCATCACCAACTACTACCAAGTACCTACTGACACCACCGTCAGGAAGTGCAAACCTTGCTCTCCTCAACTCAGTTAGAGCTTTTCAAACCCCACGCCGTGAACAGCAACTCGGGCTACGAGTACTGGCAATTACCGCACCCTGCCCCACTCGTGTTCTTGCGAGCATCTCACAAGCCGTCCCAAGCAGACCACGATGTGTTACCGTCCCAATCAGACGACGATGCCATGGAGCACCTCACCCGAGATGCAGACCTGAGGCAGGTGAAGAGGAGCAACTGCGGTTTCCTGTCTGTCTGAACGCCACGATCAGAAGTCACTGTGACCAAAATCGAACCAGATGCACTGCTCCACGGCTTGCTTTGGGAAGGCGTTTGCAATCTGGGGCACAAGCAGGGCCAGCCCCCATGGAGACGCACTGCATCGGAACACCGACAGGGTCCTCAGGAGCAAAGGATCTCGATGCGAGACATAATTCAGCCCCGCTTGGCCGCGCTCTCAGACCGCATCTTCAATACCGGACTGCTCCCGTGCCCGCTTACAGACTCAGCAGGTAAGGACGACAGATCGCACTTATGTCAAAGCCAAGGAATTCAGGTACTACTGAATCTGAATCGCCACCAACGCTATCCCACAATGCACCCGTTTTCCTTTCATGGTGCAGCAGCAGGCAGCCTGGCAGGGGTCGTCAAGGTGGCCGCAGCAGACCGATGCCCGGTCTGAATGCTGCTTGGTCGACTCATGACTGCCTCCTACCGGCACCTGCCGTCCCACCATCGGGAGTTCCACCTCCCAACAGAGAGGAACATTAAGGATGATCATCAGAGTCAAAGGCTGAACGTTCGTGTGGCCCTACTGCTGTCAGGGTACTCCGTACCGGCCCTGTGAGGAACAGGGCGACAGCTGGCTTGGGCCGAACTAAACAAGTTGAAGAGTGACTGAAGACGGCAACAGTCGAAGCGCATGCCTGGATCGCTTTGCGAAGTGCGACGTCTCCTTAATGTGGAACAAAGCGGCTCCCAGTATCCAGGCAGGTCGGCCGCTCGCACAGCGAAGTGGCGCATGGAGCCAGTTTCGCTGTCGCGAGCTGGCAAGCCCCTCACATGCAACACGCATCAATGTGCCTCGAGGCTTCACGCCAGGAGGTCTCCGCATGGGCAAGAACGGGGACATCGGTTCTCAAGCTGAATCAACATCAGCTCAATAAAGGATGGTAGGAGCGGTCTCTACAAACCGCGCCACCGCTGTGCCAAGGAGCATCCCGCAGAGATGCTCAATCATGGCGCAGACTTGAAGGATTAAAAGAACTCTGCTATACAAATTTTAATAAGAAAATCTGACAAGCTGTACACTGTAGTTGATGTGGCGCAACCACTGTACGAAGAGGGACTACCCTCAAAGCGCAGCAACCGGTTAAGTCGCGGTAAACAAGATCCCTGTTCAAACCGAGAACCGGTTGAGCAAGTGGTTGCGCAATGTCTAGCAGGCAGAAGAGAGGCAGCCGGCATTATAATTTTGATACCGCGTCCCTGCGCTTGTCCACGAAACACTCGGATTTGCTCGTGGCCAAACTGCCAAAATCTAGCATCTGGAACCCTGCGTGTTTCTAGGCAGCTCAGGTCGAGTCGGCTTGTCAAGAGTATAGGCGCTTCTCAAACGCGCGGTGAGGTAATGAGCCACAGCATGACACCGCCAACGGCCTCAAGGAAACCCCTATCCCTATCGTTCATCCCTATTCATCCCTCATAACACACCTACCAACAGTCCAAAGAGGTGTCCATGAGGCCCCGATGTATCGACTCAATAACGAAGGGGCGTGGTGCAGTTTAAATCCTGCAAGACATAGCAACCGTGCCTGAAACTTTGCGGTGCGACACGTAAAGCATTGCTGAAGACTTTCCTGTAGGCCTTACAGGTACTCGTTTGTACTCCGACTTTGAGTAATTATGCCTTTCATACAAGAACAGGATCGGCTAGGGGTTTCAGGAACTACTACTGCAGACTCTTTTGAGTAGGTGCGCCTCCGCAACTTGGCGACAAAGTACTATCCCATGCCCAGAGCCACCCCTCTCATGCGCAAGTTCTTCTCTTCCCCTGGCCCTAGAAAAAGAACAAGCCAGCCATCCGGTACGAGCATGTGTTATGGGACATTGACCCTTCGATGACAGGAGATGCTTGACGACGTCGCATCATGCCAAGCTTGGCCGGCTGCTTGCTGAGGACTGGTTCGAGAAGTAAGGGACATGAAAAGGATCTTCGTACGGACCCATTTCACGCCACAAGGTATCAAAGATTCCAAGTGTCCACTCAGTGACGTGGTCGGGTGGCCACCGCGGAATGGGTTGTCTGCAGCCCTAACTCATCACGCGCGCCTGGGCAGCAAAACTGCAGAGCTGCATCAGATCACCGTGGGACTAGGCCGAGTAGGCTAGGCTCTGCAGGAGGCTTCAGATCTGGGCGCCACACTTTCCACACGGTTTTGGAAGTTGTACGGGGCAATCTCCACGTCCTCACATGTGAGCGGGCCCAGTCTTAGCGGCGGACGCAGCACGGCTTGCCAGTCGTCTCGTGTACGCGCAGGCTTGGTCAAAGTGTCCACGACCCCGTCCTTGAGGAACTTCTTCATCTTGCGCAGGTGCACCTCGTGGTCGAGTCTTTGTGGCGCAAGCTTGTCAAAGATCTCCTGTCAGGGGCGAGCATGTGTAGTCCTTGACGAGAATCTGCAAGTCGCTGGCGGCGAGCCTCCGTGGATCCCTTCTCGTAGAACGAGGACCGGTGCTGCTTGGCGGTGCCATATGTTTCCAAGGTGACGGAGCTTCCGACCTCCAAGTTGCAAGGGAACGGAGTCCCATGAGCCCCAGCTCTTCTCAGACCTGGCCTAAATCCTGACAAGGACCCGCCTCGTGCTGGATGCCGGTATCTTCGAAAGCCTCGATCGATGGGAAGTGTAGGGCTGTACTCACACTGAAACTGGGCGATCTTTCAGCTTCAAACTGTGTGCTCTCTGTGCTACGGTGGCGCAAAGCTTCTCAAGCAGGATCCACTCGAGTTCATGCCGGAGCTCCCTAGAGCTCCTGTAGAAAACAGGATGTTCACAGAAGAGTAGTAGTAGGCATCAACCAGTGCTCACGAAAGTTCAAGATGAAGCATGAGCATGCATACATCCAACAGTGCCCATGTACTGTGGTGAAAACAAAGACCTTTACAACTTTCCTACTCAAGGCCTCGCCACGCATTACCACCTCGACATCCACGATTTTGTTGGTCCTGGTCAGCGTCGTTCTGAAAGGGCCTGTGTGGCAGGGGTTTACAACATAACCGGCAACCCTGTGAAGAGGGTGCTGGGCCGCTACGGTCCTCTTGACGACCTGTTCTGTCTGGACCGAAGCCGCGCACCCCATGGCTGCGCTATGCCTGCTGCTCTTTTGAAGGGCTAGCAAACAAGCAGAAACTCGATGAAGAATGAGCAGGGAAGCTGACAGTGAGGATGGTATGATTAACCACAAAGAGGAGCCCTGTGCCGTAAAAAAGCGGCTGCGGCATTCGCATGTGTTTTGCGGTCATTAATTTTTTCGAAGGCTTCGCAGCAGTTCCAACTCTGGAACTTGAAGCCGTCCGAACCTCTGGCGTCTGCGTGTGGGCTTGCGTAGAGGCTTCGTTCTGCAGCTATGTTCGCTCTGCTTCCCAAAACAAGCAGGAAGAAACATGTGCTAAGTAGACCAAACTTGCCTGCAGCCTCCTGAAACTCACTTGGGTGTCAGCTGAGCAAGTCCCAACCAATCAACCACACTTGCCGCTGCAGGGGGTCCTTGCAGCACGTGTTGTTCTTCGGGTCGCACGGCTTTCCAACTGAACAGGTCAGATGAAGTCAGACTTGCATGCGAATTCCCCTTGCGAGACCACTACGGCCGAAGAGTGCCTTACAGTCTGCTCACCCAGACGATTCTCAACACTCTGGTTTGCTGGCGGCAAGAGCAACCAATGGCTATCGAATCGAATCCAAACCATCGCGGACCTGCCACACAGCTCGTGTCGCTGCACAGAACACTGCAGGTACTTCCATCTGGACACTTCTCGGCCTGGCATTCACACAAGTGACACAAATCGCGTCGTGAGTGCTCACCAAAGGCAGGCACTAGGATCTACTCTCTCGGATCACCGTATGCAATTGCAGTGAGCTGTGCTGTGCGATGAGAGTTCCAATTGAGCCACCTTGCCACCGCGGTTGAAAAGAAGCGCGCAGCCTCCACCAGCAGCTTCCTAGACAGCAGAAAATGGGGATTCGAGTTGGAAGGAAGCTTTAGTTGGAAGAGGACGCCGAAATACCCGCGCATGCTCTACTCAGAGGCTATAGAGCTGTAGAATCATGGGCTGCAAGAGTGCGGCACACGATGAAGCATCGCGTCCACCGATCAGGCCGCACGTGCAAAAAAGGAGGCCAGCTGCGATGGTCGAAGCTTCTTTCTTTCAGTTTAGTTGGAGTTGGTTTAAGCCCAAATCTTAAATCTTTCGCCCACTATACAAGTAGCAGATGCTGTTCGTTGGCACATGTTGGCACACTGCCTGATTTCGAACGTGGGATGATATGAAACTTGCCTGCCTAGGACGGCTATACAACTGCATCCCCTGGTCCTCGAACATGCAGCCCTGTGGATACTCACGGCCATCCGCCGGCGTCTGTACAATCTCCTGCCACAGGGCAACACTCCATGACTGCGGGCATTGTTGCCGATCGCGGCCTTTCTTTCTCAAATCAGATGCTCGGACTGGGATGGGGTGAACTGCCAGTGAACTGCCTCCTGACTGCCTCCGGAGGCAAAATTTTGAGTACTCAAACCCAGGAATCCAACTGTCTATGTTGGTGAAGCTACTACTGCCGCCCCTCATCCATTCCGGCTCATGAACCGAGGACACAGTGGTTGGATCGTGCTAACCCCCTTCGCGAAGCGGCGAGCAACGACATAGTGACAATACCCCATGGCAAGGTGAAAAAGCACAGGCCTTCCAGCCGAGCCCATAGCAGCCGCGGCCGGGCCAAACCGCCTGCGTTGAACGACATGACATGACAAATGCTTCTGCTATGTCAAACTAGAGCGTCGTGTCACCAGCAAAGAGAAACAGGTGAACAATACACGGCGGAGATCGGCTCGTGGTAGCCATTGTCGGGCTGTGTGCTGATGCCGACGAGGACGGTCTGGTGATGAGTTGGGTCTGTCGAGTCCCGAGGTTGAAACGGTAGAGGGCGTACACTGCAGTTATTGTAGTCAGCCGAACGAATGCTGAAAAGGCCGCGATCATAGTTGGAACTTTTTGGGGTGCAAAATCGCCGGGGCAGACCGTGCGCTGGCCGGCGCCGAACAAAGATACCGAAAGAGAAAGAGAAAGAGAAAGAG